CGCCGCCCCTTTTATCCGCCCGCCACCGGCCCCGGCTCCAATCACACCCCGGGGCCGCCGAGGGGGGAGCTCCCAGTCCCCCGGATTAGCGGCCAGCATCTCCCCCCCGCCCGTCCCCTCCCCCGGGTCCCCTCGGTCCCCTTGGTCCCCTCCCTCAGGGCCCTGCCCCAGGTTCCTCCCCGCGCCTCCCTCGCCCTCTCCTCTGCCCCCTTCGATGTCCGCCCAGGTCCCGTCCAACTCCCCTCCTCCTCCTTGGCACCCATCACCCTGGGTCCCTTCCCCGTGTTCCCTCTGCCCCCCAGCCTCCCCAGTGCCCCCACACCTAGGCGGGCGTCCTGCCTGGCTGCTCCATTCCCCCCTCAAGCACCCCAGGCACAGGGATGGGGATAGATGGGGAGTCCGTGGGGCAGGACCCTCCCCAACCCAGGTCTGGGGGGTGACATGGGAACTGCTGAGAGGCTCCTGGCCTCCTCACTCCGTTTTGCTCCCAGATTCTTGCACCTCAGTTGCATTTTTTTTCCCCCTTATCTATCTATTTATTTATTTATTTATTCCACCCCCCACCGCCCTCTTCCCTTCATCTGTTTATGGAAGCGACTTACAACGGGCTTACACGGGCCGCCTGATCCCGGCCTTCCCGCCGCCCGGCCAGATTAAACGAGGGTCCCTCTGATAAAGATAATTACAAGGGGACTCCGCATTAACTTTGCGTTATTAAAGAAAGACCCAAATCTCCTCTCGCAAGCTGTTCCCGGGATTAGCGGAACAATAACTTTCATTTAGGATAATTGCCGTGGCCGCTGCCGGGGGCTCCGTTAAGGCCAGGGGGTAGGAGGGGGGGCACTTGGGGATCTGTCCCGAGAAAGGCAAACGGGTGCTGGGGCGGGGGGGCAGAGGAGGGCAAAGGGGGGGGGTTGCACCCTCCCCTCCACTCCAGAAGCCCCCTGTGTGATTTGGTGGGGACCTCGTGTGCCCTGGGCACGGGGATGCTCAGAGCATCAAGCCCCTGGGGCTGCCCTGCCATGGCAGGGGGTTCATGACGGGGCACCCCGGGGTCCCCCTTGGGCACCTTCACTTTTTTTTTCTTCCCCAGGTGTTTGTGGCTGCAGCCACCACCGCAGCACTGGAACCAGAGACTTTCACTGCTGCCCCCAGGGGAGGATCTGCCACAGTAATTAGAAGCCCTAATCCGGCCACCACCCACAACAAATTTCCTGCCTGAGCAGATATTAGTGGATAAAACCCTAATTTTTGACGTTGCCCCAGAATCAGCTTGATTTCAGCAGTTTACGCTCAGGCTGAGCTGTTGGGAGAGATGATGAAGCCTTAAATATGCATATGGCCTAGTCATTTGGAAAGTTTGGGGATAAAGCAGACATAATTGCTCCTAATCAGTTTATGAAACATAAAAGCCCGAACCGGGGAGAAAGCCGATAGATGCAGAAATAGCGGGTAAATCTGCGCGTGCTGGCGCGCTGGCCTCGATACAGCAGCGGTGCCCGGCCTGGGGGGATGCTGTGGGCACCGGGATGCTCCAGGCCCAGAGACAGCCCTCTGGCACCAGGACCAGGCCCAGGCCCAGGATGGGATATATGCCCTGCCACCCTTCAGGTCCCCTGGCCATGATGGAGAGGGGCACCTCCAGCAGGGTTTGGGACAATAAATCAGTTAAAGGATATCTTGATATATGCTCATCAGATAGGATGATCTGGGATTAGACTAATCAGTAAATGTTTCTCTGCTCATTATTTTTCTGGGGGGAAGATTTTCCCCTGATTCTCCGATGCCGAAAGATTATTAATCGCTTAAAGAGCAGAACATCAAACGTCGGCCCCTGCTCTAATTTCCCCCGGGGCCCTCCCCCCAGGCGCGGCTGCCACCCGGCAAGGCGCACGCGCGCCCAGGCTGGGACGCGGAGCTGGCCCCGGCACCCGGCAGCTCTGGGAAGGCTCCTGGCCTGGGCTCTGCTCAACCTGGATGGTCCTTCCCTGTGCCGGGCATTCCTGTGGCCTGTTCCTGTTCCACGGAGGGGAACGCGGTGAGGTGGGAGCGCCAGCAAAGGTATCGCAGGCCCCGGGTTAGGGGGATTAGTAATGGGATAAGGCAGCTTTCACCTCCCAGCCCCTGCTTTAGATATGAATCAGGTCAATCATAAAGGAAAGTCGGTGCCATCTGACAGTTTCTGGCTGCTCCGTCTGCAAGATGCTTCCGGACGCTGCGAGACCAGATAGAGAGGAACACCACGCAGCACCCCTGGAGTGCTTCCCGCCTCCCCTGCCCCTAATTCCCCCGCACAGATTCCACCCTTAAGGCATTCGCCTTTGATTAAAGCACAAGAAAAGAAGAGCAGTCACAGTTCAGGTGGCACGCGAGAGCCGGGCGCGGGTGGAGGCGCAGGGCCCGCACATCTGGAGTGTCGCAGATTTAATCAACGCGCCGGCAAGTGCCGCGCGCCGACAGCTGGCGCGCCGGCCCGGGCCCAGCTCCTCGTTAATCGCCCGCCCAACGCGGGGAGCCGGGGCTGCGATTTCGCGCTGCTCCTTTAGGGATGGCTGTGGTTCCTTATTTTTTGCTCCCTCTCTACTTTGAGGTGGTTTTGCCAATTCCCTCAGCTGGGAATTGGGAAACTGGGAGCTGGGTCCTCGTGGACGCTGCGAGGTCCCAGACACTGGGCACTGGGAATATCCACCCGTGGCCACGCAAGAAGCTCACCTCATCAAGGAGGGGGCCAAGCGTATATGTGCATATATATATACACACGTCGTATATAATTTATAATATGTTATTATATATTTTATATAATTATATGCCCTATAAGGATATATAATTACTACTGTGCCATTGAGTAGACCAAGTGGTTTAGGACAGTGCAAGGTGAGGCATGTCCCGCTCGGAGAGCTTAAGTTCTCAGCTTTAATGAGGAGAATTAGGGCTTTCCTACAATTTAATCAGAAGGAATAACAGAGGTATTGGTGCCATTTCTTGGGCAGGAGGCTGTCCACCCTGGGGCGCTCCCTGCCATGTACCGTCACCAGGCAGCACCCTGACATCCTGAGGTGACAACAGCTCCATCCTGGGTGACAGGAGCCATCCTGGAGGCTGTGGCTGAAGTCTGAGTGGACTGGACACATGCACTGGATGGGACCCTCTTCCCAGGGGTTCCCACTCTTCCTTGCTGCTTTTCTGCTTTTCCAGGCCACCAGAGTGTGGAAGTAGCTCAGATTTCTTTTCTTTTCTTTCTTTATTTATTTATTTTCTGAGCAAAATCTATCAGATCTATGCAAAAAAAAAAAAAAAAAAAAAAAAAAAAAAAAAACCAAAAAAAAAAAAAAAAAAAAAAAAAAAAAAAAAAAAAAAAGAGGAGGGAAGAAAAGCCCCAACCATATTTTTAAATAATACTAAAAAGCTGTAAGTATTTGTTCGGCCTGCTTGTTCTTACTGCTTTGGATCAGCCCGATTATACAGGGATTCATTTTTATTTCTGAGTTTTATTTTTTCTCATTTAACAGCTGCACATTAATAAAAACTCCATTTATTGGAGGATTTGGCTGGGATTGCTATAATAAAATAGAAGGATTTGTGCTGGGCACTAAAAGAACTCTCTGCAAAAAGTAGTGTTTTTCCAGTGATTAGGAGCGCCAGAACATATTGTTTTGCTGGGGAGCCCCGTCACTGCTGAGGACGGTGACAGATGTCTCGTGTTAATGTTGAATGATTAAATGCCATTTCTGAAGCCACTCCCTGGCTGTGGAGCCTGGTGCAACTTCACCCGCACAATCTGCCCTCAAGCTGTTGCCTTTGCTGCGAGCATCCCATGGTGCTGGTGCTCAGGAGACCCTCACCACGACCTGGGCTGCAGGCCACGTCTTGGGGCAACCTAAGATCAGGCAACGTGTGGGCCCCTGTTTAGGTGGGACAGGTGCCCGAGGTAAGATCAAGGGCTTTGCCCTTGGGAAGTAAATGCAGTCACAGTGGTTGCTGTGCTTGGTGTTAGTTTTGGGCTGAGCTGGAGCCCAGGAGCTCCAGGTGTCTGCTGAGCACCAGGCAGACCCTTTCTTTGCAGTGCAAAGTTGGAGCAAGGTAAGTGTCCTCTGTGTTTAGAGCAGAGCTGTTGTCCAGGAGGAGAGGACGCGCTGGCCAGCAGCAGAGCGGCAATGAGGTCCAGGGGCCGCTTGCTTCTGTTGGCCCGAAGGGGCAGTGAGCGGCGAGGGGCCTCATCCCAAAGGCAGCTCCACACGCTGCGGGCCGACATCTGGAGCGCTGTGACGCGTGCGGCCTTCACCAGCCCCTCATCTGCTCGGCATCTGCCGCGGCGACCTGCTCCAGGGCCAAGCTGCACGCACGGCGCTCCCGAGGCGTGCGCACGTCGCCGTCCGGCCGCCGCATGGGCGCCGCGCCGGGGGGTTTCTGCAGACAGAGGCGGCGGCGGCGGCGGGGAGGAGCGGGCTGGCACCGGGCCGGCCGCTCACATGCTCCGGCACAGGCCACCGAGCACCTTGCCACTCCACGAGGAAGGGTGGGAAGAGGCACTCGGAGACGGGCAAGGAGCAGGGATGCTCCCCGGAGAGCCACCCGCTCCCTCTCCCGAGGGATGGGCGCTCCCGAAGACGTCTCCTCTCCAGGCAAAGCGCGGCAGCGGGCCCAGGAACTGAAACAAATCAGGCTGTAGAGGGTGAGATGGTGCCCAACAAAGTGGCCTAAATTGACTTATTTATCCTGCCTCTTAAAAAAAGAACACCCAAACCCCCAAAAATGAAACCTGTTGTCACCAATTAATCCCTCGGCCCGCCAGGTCAAGTAAAAGCAGGTTACCCCCTTGCTTTCACTTCTCCCCCAGCCTAATCTGTGCGCTAAATTACAAGTTGATAATGGGTTCCCATTAATTATTGATTTTTCAGATAATACTTGTTAAAGTAGAATTAACGCTATTGTTCCTGAACAAATACTGCCCAAATACTGTGTTTAGCGGCCTTGTAATCAGCTTTACCCACTTCTCCTCTAATCTGATTGAAACAGATTTCCTACCAAATCTTTTTTTATCATTTTGTTGATATTAAAAGGTCACATATTTGTGGGGCCCAAAAGTTTAATTTAAGTTGCTGCAATCGAATACTGTTCCATGCTCCTATACGTGAGTGCTGCTCTCATTTGGCCTGAAACCGAAGACGTGCGGAAAGCGAGGAAGGAGCTTTCCGTGGCACTCACCGAGTGCTGCTAGGCATTGCACATTTTAGCTTATTTTCCCAAGCCCTATATTATGATTCTGTTCATCGTAATGCCTTTTGACCCGCTGCATTTACTCCATCATAATTATCCTTTAATACTCTTATAAATGAACTTTTAGCTTATCTTCCATTAATTCTCAGAACAAGCAAAGCACTAACGTAACAAAGCTATCTAAATAAAGTGTTTAACCCTTGCGGCGACTTTCCCTCCCTGATTACTCAAAGGGGCTTTTAAGATGTGGACAGCTGAACGATGCTCCCGCTCAGGAGATGCAGGGCGTGCGGGGGAGTTTAGCTCCTCTCCAAGCCACGTCACGTCCTACAAGGCTGCGGAAAGCAAATCTGGGGTTAAAACCAGAGGAGGTGAGAGCGCCACGGAGCTGCCTCCTTCCTCCTCCRTGTTCATGCTCAAGCTGTACTGGAAAAGGGGGAAGTGGCAGCTTTGTTCCAGTTACTGTGTTCCTGATGTTTGTTACGATCTCACCACCGCCTCTGTAGATATAAATATCCCATTTTGGGGATATATTGGGTGCAATAGCTCGGGAGAAGACACTAGCACTGATATGCAGTTGTGGATGGGCTTAGAGGAGACACCACAGAATGGACCGGGGCCACCGCCTGCCCGCAGGGCCCTCCAGGGCCTCATAAGCCAAAAGGGACAAAACTCACTGATGGCCCCAGYGGCTCACTGACTCCACACATGGGATCTGCTCAAGGTCTTCTGCAGACAGCAGAGCCACCAACCTGTTCTGCGGCGATCCCATTTCTCTGGTCCACCTCACATCAAAGCGCGAGGCTGCTGGCCCTGGGAAGAAGTCCTTATCTCAGAAGGACCCCACCATCCTGCTGCCCATGAACGCCTCAACCTTTCAGGAGAAGGAAAGAGATCAGGGAGATSTGTGCTGCAATGAGAGGTCACTTCCTTGGTTTGCAACATCTCCTTTTACAGAGCATCTGAACTGCACCTTGCCAGGGGGACCTGCATAGATTTTCATGGAAATTTGGTGACATTCAGTGAAAAGATATTAGCATGCACAATGAGAAAATGCCTAATTCTCCCAAAGAGGGTTTTATGCCCATTTGTGCATCTAGAATAACCTGGAAGGGTTAGATTATAGCTATTAATGCCATACAGAGCTTTAAAGGAGATTAACTCAGGAGTTTTGCTATTAAAGGTGTACTGCTCATGGGTCTAACCCCACTACAGTAATAGATACTAAATAGCAATAAAAAAGGTTCACAGCCTTGGGCTGCACTAAAAGACAAGCTGTCCACCGTGGTGGACGTTCTCATAAGAAAAAGTCTAAACACATGACAGATGAAACAGCCGCCGCTTTCGGTCCCCAGCCCATCTTACTTTCTCTCTAATATTATTTGCCCTCCCGAAATCCTGTTAGGGGCTTTCATCTTGTTTTGGGAGCGAAATGATGACTGTCTCCAAGCAGCAGGGCTAAGTCCTCAGCTCTTGGGAACTGTCTGAACTTTATCAGCTGGACACTGACTTACACCGGCCATGAACCCCACTGCCCCATGCTTCACATGGAACAGACTCCTAAAGATTAGTGTTTGCCTTTAAGACTGTCATGGTTTCATGGTAAAGAAATCACCCTAAAAGCATTTTTTTTCCCTATGCAGTTTTTAAGAATCCAATCCTCCCTTGTAGCTTAAGAGGAAACAATTTCCTGATTACCACAGAGTCAAGGCCAACTTGAGAAATTTTGTATTTATTTCCTGATAACATAATCCGTATCCCACACAATTTGCCCTGTGAAATACACTCCCATGTAATACGGTGGTGTTAATGGCGCAGTGTAAAATCACAAGCTGGTTTGAAATGCAGAGATTTTGGAAGAAAAGATACCAAATCACATAATGCAGCGCCATAATCATCTGACAAAAAAAAAAAAAAGGGACCTGCTTATCCGATTATTGTTTTGGTTGCATGTCCTTAACAAAACACAGCAGTTATCAGTTCCAACGCATTTGGGCCTCATTCTCTTCATTGGGAAAGCTGCTTCTTTACTCTCTGTGCAACCTGAGCCCCTCAGATAAGGGGGACTCTCAACAGGATGAGATGTGGGATTGCATCTTACCTGCTCTAAGCTGCAGTMACTTCACTGAAATCATTGCAAGAAAGAGAATAAACCAGCAGGCAGGAAACAGTAGAGCGCTCATACCAGARTAGAAAGATTTTGTGGAAATTTATGACCAATAAAGTCAAAGAACTTTTAAGAAGGAAGTCTGTGTTTTTACCAATACCAAACAAAAATACTGCTTGTTAGTTAGCTTTAGTGCAATATATTATCTGTCAGTTTTAGTGCAATATATTATTTGCTAAACTGTCATTCATGGTTCTGAATGTGGCTTAGTTTTATAATTTGCTAAACTTTTGCTCATATAGGACTTAATCTGTAAAKAATTTGGCAAAGCTAACATAGCACCAGGGAAATCCTCTTTATCATGGTCTTAAAGAAAAACAAACAATCCCTTCTCATGGTATCACAAGTTGGCCCAAAGAATGTGACTACACTGATAAAACAATACAACTTCTCAAAGGAATTGGATTTCATCTCGTCAAGCAGTSTGGTATAGAAAGAAATGAGTGTTAAACAACCTAGATGGTGCCCGTATGAACTGGGCTTTAATCTGTTTAAGTCCTCAAATAAACACCAAATGATTCAGCAGTTCCACACTATTCTCAGCCCAGGAGTACTAGGTTAACCAATGAGATGCAGAAAAAAAATTATTACATCACTGTCAGCAACATTTGCAGGAGATTCAAAAGAGAGTTGAGTGCTAAACAGCACAGGCGACAGCTCAGATATGAAAACCCATTTATGCTTGTCCAGAAGTGGATCTGTTCATGACACACACACACAAAAAAAGCAAGTCTACACCTTTGTAGGGAAAAAAAAAAGAAGAAAAAAAAAAAAGAAATGAAAGAAATAAAAGACAGGAAGGTAACACTTTGGGATGTTACCTAAAAATAGCTGAGGAAAAGGTTGAAAAAAAAAGCTGCAGCTGGAACCTGTTCTCCTTCTGAAGTGAGATCCAGATAAGGAAGAAGAGGCACATTTTTTATCAGGTGTTCTCCAATATAATTTATAGCAGCCAAAATAACATGCTGCTCTTGATGATCACAGCTATAAACAGCTAAGGTAGACAGTAYGACAGCTGGGAAGCCTTGTACAATACAGAGGCTGTAGCCTTGTCTCCCCTGTTCTCAGGCTAGAGGATCACTCAAAAGCCCTCAGGAGGTCCTGTGGAAGATGATAACCTGATCTGAGCACTGACGACAACTCCCTCATCTCATCAGGTGACTGAGAAGCCAAGGAGGAGCAGGACGCTGCTGTGTCACCCTCATCAACAAGGAAGAACTGCGTGAAGACAAGAAAATCCAGTGCAGCCTTGGCTGCAGGGACTGCAAGGTGGTCAAATTCAAGGACCTGCAAGGAAGGAGCAGGGCCAAAAGCAGAACTGCAACCCTGGGCTTCAGGAGGACAGACTACACCCTGCTCATGGACTTGTTGGAAAAATCCCATGRGTTATGGCCCTGGAGGGAAGAGAGGTCCGAGAGCGCTGGTTGACATCACCTTCTCCAAGCTCAAGAAGAGTTCAACTCAGCCAGCAAATTCAGACCAGAACAAAACTGGTGTTGTGAAATCAGCCCAAATATATTTTGCCTAGCAACAGAATGGCACTCACTGCTGATACCTCTGAATCCCCTGGCTTCCGAAATTCCAGTATGAGACTTCTTTAGAAACGAATGAATAGTTTGGTTGCAGAACTGGGGACACGGCAGAAAACAGGGAGTACATTCATCAGTGCTGGCGAACAAGCTGGTGGCTCTAATATAGTTTCTCTCCGTGGGGGAAAAAAAAAAAAAAAAAAAGCTTTTAAATGATCAAAAAAAATGTACAATGCATGTCTGCATGTCATCATTATAACAGTGTTATAATGTGTTTAAGCCTACACAGAGGCTTAAAACCACACAGACATCGCTGGGAACTGTTCTTTTCCATGCAAGGACTCTCTGTTGTTTCCCCGTTCTCAAGAGAAGCAAGAGCTGCACGTTAGGAGAAGGGCGTTTGGCCAAATTACCTTATTTATTCATGGCCCTTGCTGAATAGCCACGATAATGAGAAACCCCGCGGGAGCAACGCGGCTGATTTGCGCGCGGAGCTGCAAAGAGGCCATTTGCAAGGGAACGGCCCCCCGCAATATGCCGCGCAGACGGGGCGGCCGGGCGCCGGCGCCGCGTGCCGTTTTGTCCGCGGACGGCTGCCCGGCAAGGGGCGGTTGCAACGTTCTCGGGGCGCACAATGGGCTTGCTCAAGTGTGCGACGGTGTCGCCCGCCTCTCCCGCCCACCCCAGGCGGCCAAGGTTTGTTCCGCCTGCGTCCAGCTGCCGGGTCCTGACAGCAGGTCCTGCAGGACAAAACAGGGTATTTTCTTGCCTTATTGCTCCTGCCAGCTCGGGAGGACGCAGCAAAGAGCGGCAGCATATGGGCCTCGAGGGATTTCCAGGCATTTAACAAACGTTATATTCTCCATAACAAAACGGCAATATTTGGGTACTTAGGTCACTCATGTAACTAAATTAAATTCCCTAGGTGGTGCGGGCAGGGATGCTAATTGGCTTGCCCCATGGCTTTTCTCCCAAGAAACAGATTGGCCCATTTTTCAGGTGCCTGGCTGTTAATTGACTAACGGAGAGAAGCCCGGTGGGGCCGATCACCTCGCTTGGTAAACGCAGACCCTGCTTGCTCAGGGGGACAAGCGAGAGGCGAGGTGGCTTCGGCAGACAGGCTGGTGCTGGGTCAAGCCCAACTTGTTTTTCATTCCTTTATGTTGGGCCTGCAAGCGAAGGTTTAGCACAGATTTGGCTGCTCCCCTGGGATGCCAGGCTCACCAAATGACCAAATCTCTTGCGAGAAGGGCTTCCCTTGTGGGTGCAGAAGGCCACGCAACATCTCTAATAAGCAGGAGGCTGCAGATCCAGCTCTCTGGCTCTTTGGTCCTTAAGCCAGGTAACTTCTGCTACCTTTGGGCAAGTCCTTTGGAGCTTGCTTTGGCTGGGCTCTGCTTCCCTGATAAGCCAGAGAGAACAGCACTAGGGGCAGGTGGTAGCTGCTGGTGGCCAGGGCAAACTACTCACCAAAGTTATGCTCAGAACATTTCATGCACAGGTCCCTTCAGGGTATTTTCATTACCCTTCTGCAGCTGATGAGCTTTCTGAGTTGATTAGCTAAGAGAAAAATACAAGGCTTATAAATTGAAAGTTTTCACAGAATCACAGAATCACAGAATATTTAAGGTTGGAAGGGACCTCTACAGATCATCTAGTCCAACCTTCCTGCTCAAGCAGGCACACCTACAGCATGTGGCACAGGGTGGCATCCAGGCGGGTTTTGAAGATCTCCAGAGTAGGAGACTCCACAACCTCCCTGGGCAGCCTGTTCCACTGCTCTGTCACCCTAACAGTAAAGAAGTTCCTCCTCACCTGGAGACGGAACCTCTTATGCTTCAGCTTGTGGCCATTACCCCTCGTCCTATCGCTGGCCACCAGTGAGAACAGCCTGTCCCCTTCCTCCCTGCATTCTCCCTTCCTGAACTTATACATATTAATCATATCCTCTCCGAGCCGTCTCTTCTCCAGAGAAAACAGGCCCAGCTCACTCAGCCTCTCTTCATATGAGAGATGTTCCATTCCCTTAATCATCCTGGTTGCCCTTCTCTGGACCCTCTCCAGAAGCTCCACGTCCCTCCTATACTGGGGTGCCCAGAACTGAACACAGTACTCCACGTGCGGCCTCACCAGAGCTGAGTAGAGGGGCAGAATCACCTCCCTTGACCTGCTGGCAACACTCCTCCTGATGCAGGCCAGGATCCCATTGGCCTTCTTGGCCACGAGGGCACACTGCTCACTCATGGTTAACTTAGTGTCAACCAGGACTCCCAGGTCCCTCTCCGTGGAGGTGCTTTCCAGCAGGTCCACCCCTAATCTGTACTGATGCCTGGGGTTATTCCTCCCCAGGTGCAGGACCCTGCACTTGTCCTTATTGAACCTCATGAGGTTCCTCTCTGCCCAACTCTCCAGCCTGTCCAGGTCCCTCTGGATGGCAGCACAGCCCTCCGGAGTGTCGGCCACTCCACCCAGCTTGGTGTCATCCGCAAACTTGCTCAGGGTGCATTCCGTGCCCTCGTCCAGGTCATTGATAAACAAGTTGAACAGCACTGGGCCCAGYACTGACCCCTGGGGGACACCACTGGCCACAGACCTCCAACTGGACTCGGCCCCATTTATGACCACCCTCTGAGCTCTGCCATCCAGCCAGCCCTCGATCCACCGCACCGTGCACTCGTCTAGTCCACTGTCCCGGAGCTTTTCAGACCTGTAGGGAGTTTAGAAATGTAGGGAGCTTAGCATAAGTAAGTGACGTAGCATAAGACATGATTTAGCATGAGGCACGGCGTTCGGAGAATCTCACAATGTTACGGAGAGAGACAGGAGA